CCACAAGCATTATAAGCAGATCCATGGGACAGGCATTGGCTCACCCGTTTCCGCCGTAATGGTAAATATGGTCGTGGAAGACCTTGAAGAAAGAGCATTAACTACTCTTATCAATCAATCTCTGTTTTGGAAAAGATTTGTGGACGACGTGAGTACAACCTCGAAACCTGATAGTACTCAAACTTTTCTCGAATATTTGAACTCAATTGAACCCTGCATTAAGTTCACGATTGAACGCGAAAGCGAGGGGAAAATTGCCTTCCTTGACTCCATAGTTCACCATTAGGAAGACGGAATATTAACCACCACCGTCTACCGGAAACCCACCCACACTGATCGCTATCTGTTTTCTTCATCGCACCATCCCAGTATGCATAAGCGCGCTTTGGTTAAATCATTGATTGATCGGGCCGAAAAAATCCCACAACAAAATCCGACCAAATGAAAGAAAAAAAAAACGGGTGATATCGACATTGCAGTCCAATGGATATCCCAAGCGTTTCATCTTGGGTGCCAGCAAGCCTAAACCACCCTTGAAAGACATAACCACCGTTACAGAATCTGCACGGGGGCACAGTATAATTCCATACGTTAGCAGGATCTCTGAGCCAATAAAGAGAGTTCTAAAAGACCACGGCATTATGGTGGCATTTAAACCCTATCAGACAATAAGCCAGATGTTTCCAAAACCGAAAGACCAAGTTGACAAAGAGGAAACTCGTGACCCCATTTACGCCATTCCTTGCGCTGATTGCAGCAAGAGTTTCGTTGGCGAAACGCAGGGAAAATTCATAGCAGTGCGAGCAGCAAAAGGCTGTCGCGCGGCGACAAGGCGAAAGATCTGCACTTGCTGACCACGCGATAAAAACAAATCACAATTTCGCATGGGATGAGGCCACAATTCTCAGGACTAACAATAACTCTCACCAAAGAAAGATTCTCGAGGCATGGGAGATTAAATGCGCTAAAGACCCACTCAACCGAGGCGACGGGGCGTTACTCCCCAAGGAGTATTTAAACTTGACTCTCGCTAACATGAAAAAGTGACACGTATCTTGAATTTTAATCAGCGTCTTGTTTATATCGGTGCTTTTGCATAGAATTTTTCTTCCACTTCCCCTGAAGAAGGTCCGTGATTGCGACCGAAACGCCGGGGACATTTTTACTGTTTATAATTTCAGAAATGCTTTTAACCACCAGTGTAACTTAATTTGTATTTTCAAATATTTTTAAAACTCTTAGTGGTAAAATCGTTGCGGAGAAGATCATCTTAGTGGTAAAATCGTTGCGGAGATATTATGACTGGAAAGTGCAACTCTTCACACCGGTTTTTGATTACTCAAGTTAGGTAGGTCCATCGTATTAGACCATGTTTTTAATGTTGAAGTCTCAGAGCGGCTTTTCAAACAAAATAATCAGCCTTTCGAATAAGTCAAAAAACATTTGTCTTCTCCGCAACGGCTTTTGGCAACCCATGCAGAATAACTTACTATTTTTGAAAACTTGAATATGACGTGAAAATTGTATGATAGTGCTTAAACTGTCAACTTTAAACATTTCGTTTTTAGTTTTCAGTTAATCTTAGGCAAATTTGATATTTTTTAAAAAACCAATGTCTAGTTTCACATTACTGTGGAATGACTCAGGAGCGTTAAAGAGAATCAAATTTAACTTACAGTAGATTATAAAAGAAAGACTTTGATACTTCATAGATATACTTCAATGAACTTTTGATCATATTTCGAGGACGAAAAGTTTTCATTAATGTCTGATCAATTTTCCACAGATTTTCGGCGGAAATCTACGGAGTAATGAGAAACTGAAACATCATACTAGTAGAAGTGACAGGGGCTCAGATCATTCAGTTCTAGCCAGTTGACTTTCATAATCACAAAGTTCTTAGTGTAGAAGTGTATGGAACACAAGTACCTGTAGGTTCATTAGTCTTTTATTTAAAGCGTTTAGGCGAATAATTCATTTCTTTTGTTTTGTTCCCCCATGCCTCAGAGCCATGTGAGAATTTTAACATATTGAAAACGGCCTATTGAAAGCCTTGTGACTCTTTCAATCCTGCTAGAGATCACATGACTCCTTTTCAGTATTTCAGGTGATAGGAAAACACATGTTTGGAGAAACTTATGGGCCAAGTGTGATATCTCGATATGACATAAAACTCCTTGATCTAATAAATAAGGAAAATTATTACACCTAAAAGCATAAGTAACAAGGAGTTTAGGTAGGTAAAATGTTGTGACCTAACAAAGCTTATTAATTTTGCTGTTTCTTTTCCTTTCAGGTTTTCCTAGTGATATTAAAATCGATCAATTGAATTTAAATTATTCTTAAGAGAGGGGCTGGAATACTTATTAGTAATACTCTATAGCGCGTGTAAGTCAATAGAGTGACGCATGAAATAGTAATAGTCAATGTAATAACAAAACAGGGACATTTTACAGAGAGAAGAAATGTTGTAAATAAAGATACATATCACTGATTAGCGTGCATTGTAGACCGTCGTATTCAGTTACTGTTACAAATCCAAAAAGGTCCCTTTTATTCGCGACAAATATTAAGGGTAAAAATAGAAAGCTTTGTAACTTAACAGCGCAAGCCTGCAAAAGAAATTAATTAGTTTGACGTATAATTTGATACTTTACAAAAAATCACGGCGGGTTTTTCTTGGCAGATTTCCTTTCCGAAAAACTGCCAGATCAGCTCTCTAAACAAAGTTTTCCTCAATATCCGACAATGACTTGACAACTGCACATGCCAAGGAAACTGTCAAAGGTCCAGAAAAAAATTTATATAAGCAAGTTTTCCTTAAGATGTCTGCTCTTTCCGAAAGTGCTCATTGAACTTATACCTTGTTCACACCAGCAAAACATGTTTAGTTAAACCAAGTTTAACTGAATATAAATCAGAAATAAAGAACTGAAAAACTGATTTATTTTACTAGGATTCAAGTGGTTAGTAGGCTTGTATTTTCAATGTGCTATATTTGAAGCCGACCAACATCGGTTGCAGCAGTTTCTACGAAGAAAGGAATACCAAACTGTGTTTATCAAAACAGCTTTTAGGAAATGTTAAAGCTTTGGTATGAATGGGGTATATTAGTTTAATACTTTATCAATATCTGTCATTGTGCAAGTGGTGCAGATATTAATTGAACTACTCAGGAGCTCTCACTTCCTTTCTAAGCCATCATGAATATTAGAGTTTGACATCTATCTGTATATTGGATCAACAGAACTTTTGAGACAGTTTCGAATCGGAACTCTATTTGTGTACTTCTTTTGTCAGACCGTGGCCATTTAAGACGGCCACTCAAATTTTGGTAGATCGCAGATTTCCCTAACTTCTTCTCTACTATACATGGGACATATGCAATGAACAAAACTTGTCTCTTCTTGGTCAGATTCAAAACTGTGGATTCCTGAAATATTTCTTTTTCTCCTTGAGACCCCACTCTTGCGTGGAAAGTTTCCGTGTTTGCGGTCGGCAAACTAAACTGATCAAATTGAAGCAATATATCACTCTCTTCTTTCAATTCATCTCACGTACGCAATCTTAAAATAACATAAGCTCAGTAGTACTGCGTATTCATTTAGTGGGTCAGTCAGGAGACATACCCTTTTTCATTGTTTTCTCTATGCTGTCTTTATTAAACGATCAACTATCTAATGAGCTTGCACAATCATCTTACTTAATTACAATACGCTTTCATATTCAGTGGCCATACACTAACATTATGTATTTTGATGCAAGTACTTGTTGCATTAGTACTCAATACTCTACAGGTACATTTTGAGAATCGCTCAAACACCATTTAAAAAGCCGTCATGTTTCGATATGTGCTACAAATAAAGATACTCTCAACTGCCGTCAATAAGTTATCCAAATGTTAATTGTGAACACTTGTAAGAAATAGGCTGCGTCTTCCTCCTCTTCGTGGGTGGCCGGAAATTCTCCAAATTGGAAATATGTAATCAGTCTGAAGTATCAAGCTTTGCCTCGTAATTAGAAATCCGCCGAAGTAGTCTAGAATCAGAAACCTGAATCGCACAATGACTTTGCACATTACAAAGAGTATTGTAGAGGGAGTAAAAGACACTTATCAGTACTTCTTGTATAAAACATAAGCTTTTTCGTCTTATTCACGCGTCGTCACGTCGTGATCAAAGTTTAAACTTTAGATTCGCAGCATTTAGCATTAAAGATGAAAGTTCTATAACGATAGAGGGCCGTAGAGTCCAAATTGGCGTAGAAACAGTGACATCAATTCCCTTAAGAAACAGTATGAAGATCGGGCAAAAGAAGCCATGGAGCCCGCTTGTCAGATGGCGAGCTTCAAAACCTGTCAAGTGAATAACGGAGAGTGTTTTAGGTACTTTTGAAATCAAAGTCATGATAAACAACAAAAGGCTTGCTGATAATTCTCTTAACATACTGGTAAGGGAAGCAGGAAAGGCAGGTTGAGTTTTTCAAGCACCAATAAAAAATGCCACGAGTGTCTAGCTCTTGCAAAATGCTATTTTCATAAAAAAGGAGTAGTTTATTCTCTTTAAGTGACACTTTCAGTTCAATTCTATACCGAGAGGAACGTCGAGGGTTGATCGAAAAAGAGAGTCATTATGAAGAAGTTCAATTGGCTGCCAATCATGAAGTCATCACCAGCATTGTACATTTGAGTGTTAAAGGACGAGTCTTACAATTACTCTGGCTAGTGTTTCAAATAATAGGTAAGACTTGTAAAGAAAAACGAGAATCTCAGTAGAATTGTCAATTTTTCAAAGTGTTTTAACATCACCCATTCCACAAATTTCATCACTCTTCCTCCGTATATGTTACTATTTTCGGTTTGAAATACCGTGCTTATATTTATGTTTGGCATAGTTACGTGATGTTTGCGTCAAGCAAAGGGCTCACTGATTGGTTTGTATTTAAAACAGCGGTCAAACTTCGGGCATTCGGAGGTGCATCCGCTTTGGCTGGCCCCACGACAATTTTTCAGCTCAAAAGAAACGATCAATATCGCACGAAACTGCCAAAAATTAAATCGAAACGTTCTTGGAAATCTGCTAAGAAAAAGACGAGGAACAAAGAAACGGCTCGAGTGTTTCTTTAATGTAATGCTGATTTAATGGTAGGTATCTTGTTGATTTTCGCCTCTACAGCAGTCTGCATTTACAAGTACATTTAAGAGACGACAGAGCAATTTGAAATATGGGACCGTAAACGTACTCCAAGCCAAGTGCATATCCGCATTCAAATTACTGCTACTTCCTATCAACCATCTTCAAATTTCCTTTTTGTTTCCCTTTTCAGTCGTTCTAGTTTTGACATTTCTCCTGAGCAGTTTTTCCACGTTTGAGAGATCACGGCCTTACATCTTCATCAATTAATGGCTCTAGTATTTCTTGTGAGTATTCCCATTCATTGTGGCCACATAACTATAAATAATTCAAATTTGGAACATATAGTGTGAAAGAAGAGGTAATCGGCTTAAAAAAGACCCTCGTGCTTAAACTCGTTAGGAAGCCAGTGCTATTTAAATGAGAGAAACTTTTGATCTCTTTTAGATCTGTTTCAGCTTCAGGCTTTAGAGTCTTCATGTTTCCATACTCTCAATTCATGTCTGCTAATGTTTAAATTCTATCATTTCTCACAGAGTTTTAAGTTTCAAGCTTCAGGCGAGTCGCCAGGTATAAAAAACATTTGCATAGTTGTGTACTTTTATCAAACGTAAAACATAGACCAGCGCTGTTCCGTGTCTAACCACGCGATACAAAAATATTCGATGGACATTAAACACAAAAGCCTTCATTTGGCGCGAAAATCATGCTCTTATATTTTTCCTAGGACATGTGTTACTCAAAATTCAGAAATGAATAGATGAGATGTTCGCATCTCGGAACAGATAATGTCCGCAGACAAATATCCAAGCATATTTTCGTGCCAACTGGAGGTTATTGTTTATTTGTCAAACCTTATGTCGGTGTTATCTGCCTCAGCATTCCGCTTGGAAAGATCTCGGTTTTTATATGTTATGATATCATGCTTAACCTCACCTAGTAATTACTCATTATATAAGATACATAGTACCATCATGTGCGTTAAAAGATTAAGGGCAAACTATCCGGAAAGATACACGATTGCAATTACGTAAAATGGCAGCTTTGGATGCAAGGAAAGTCAATTCATTGTCTGTTTGAAGGTTAATTCAGTTATTACATTAAATCGATTCTTTTTAGGTTGCTTTAGGAATCCTGTTGGTGTTGCTGATCGCAGTATAATCCCTGATAAACAGATAACAGCATCTTCCTATTTCAACCCTGGTAGTATGGCGGCTTGTGGTCGACTCAACGGTAACAGAGGCGCTGGTTGGTGTTCGGCTAGTTCCACTAGAATAGAAAGGCTTACGATTGACGTCGGAGAAATAATTCAAGCATGCGGTCTTGCTACCCAAGGATCCACAGAATGGGTCAAATACTCTTGGGTTAAAGCTTTCTTACTGCTTACTTCCACGGATAGAGAAAATTGGGAACCTTACCAGGAAACACGTGGTGAAACAACTGTACACATTTCATTGTATTAGGCATAAAAAGCAATTGTTAATTTTTAATTTGGTGGTGTGGAAAGAAATTGGAAGAAAACGTTTTTTTCTTAATATTTCTTGTTTTCCTTTTTTTGCTTATGGAACAATTTGGTTCGGAGATTCTTATTCCCTTTCAAAATAGTGATGTCCTATTTTTTTACCTACATGTTTCAAAGGTATTTCTGAGGAAAGGTAATAGTTCGACAGTCGACCATCACAAGTTACCGATGCCAGTGTACGCATGATACTTTCAGGTTCTGTTTCTTCCATTTTATTATCACAACTGGATCTGCCTCAGAGTTGAGATTTACAAAGAAAAATGTGAGTAAATAATATGAGAGTAATACAAATATGCTTACTTTTGACAGGTAACAGGTTCCTGGGTATGAGACAATCATTATACATTCTGTGTGGATTATCTATTCTCAAATTAACAAATAGCTCAAAGGTCAGCGTGTGTTCATGTGAGATATCAAGCACGCGGGAAGTTTGGAGAGCACGAGTGATGCGTAAGAGTTGCTAAAGGTGCAGCCGATAGTAACTCTAGCTTGTTAAGTGCTCAAGTAGCCGATTTCTTAAGCCTGGTTTCCGAAAGATCGTCTGCATTGCCCCATTCGTCCCAAATAACATTTAAGTGATCGGTATGGATTGTATGGACACCAGGCCATAGGATCGCCAACAACTCGGGTAACTTGCGCAACTATCCCCCGCATACCACAGCTTTCCATATGATCAACGGTTTGACTCAATCAGTTGTCTCGAAAAGTGGGCTAAGGTACAATACGGGCGAACGCATGGAAATCAGGCCTTAAATCGTTCGAGCTTTATTTTCCATTATTTCCTCATATAGGGTTTCGCGCCCCAAAAGTAATTACAAATAGGTATCTTTCCAAACGTGTTTATGAACACCTCGGAATAAAACTCATATAAAGGCGTTTGAGTGTGTCAGCATTTCTATGAACATTGAATAATTCCTCTCAATTCGCAGTTCCAGGATGTCAATACTACGACTTAGGACTGAGCAATGGATACATCCTGGATAGAGATATCAGTTCGTCATCCGTACTTAACGCTAATGCACCAGCAAAGAATGGTCGATTACACTATACTGAAGGATCCTCGTGGTGTGCAGCAACAAATGACAGTCAGCCATACCTACAGGTTGACTTTGGGAAGCTTTATATCATCTGTGCTGTGTCAACTCAGCGAAATTCCCAAGGGGATCAGTGGGTGAAGAAGTACACACTTCAATCATCCAGGGATGGAACAACTTGGGCAGACTATCAAGAGGCGGGAATATTGAAGGTTTGTTACCTTCAGAAATGAAAGAAACAATAAACTAGCGTAATTCGCAATAAAAAAAAAATTGACCCTTATAATTGCGATAGAGAGGTTTCTCAAGTTTTCTAAGCGCGGGGTTTCTCACTGTGCTTTAAAAAACCTGGTTTAAGATTCCGGAAGTCAAAGGAATAACACACTTTTATTTATAATCAAATCTCAGGATCAGAGATAAAGTAAACGATATTATCAGCAATTCTGTTCGAGGAATCCCACTTCTTTGTTCTTTGGATGAATTGAATCTTTTTATGAGGGAAGAAAACTAAAATATGGTTCTTCCTTTGTGCAAAGAAAATAAAAACAATAACAACAACAAATTTTCGAGAGTGAAATAAAGGTTTAAAGTCACAATTCCTATATTTCCCGCTTGTGGTCTGCTTACAATATAGGCGGATACTAGGGAGGGGTTGAAGGAGGTGGCAACCCCGCCCCCTTAAGCAGCATTTGTTTCTTGTTATTTTGTTTGATTCTTCACTGCCACCGGACCCCATTAAGAGCTCCTTCCATTGAGACGGGGCCGTCACTGGCCTTCCAAACCATTAGAGTCGAAGGTTACTTATCAATAATATGTACAACCCCCCTCTCAGAAATTCCTGGATCCGTCCCTGTACAATGAACAAGTAACATTGTATCTTAGGTGTCCTGCTATATTTCTTACATCCACAGGTGTTCTCGGTAAATTTAGACCGAAACGAAACAGTTAAACAAATTTTGTGCAGTGGGCTTGTAGCTAAACGTCTACGTTTTATTCCTCAAGTATACCAAGGCAGCTGCTGTATGAGAGTTGAAATATATGGAATACCGCTGAAAGCAGGTAAAAAGGCAACAACTTTATAAAAGCTTACTATCAAAAGCGTGTCGTTTACAATTCGTGCTACAGTCAGCGTTTGAAAAGTGCTTTCATCATTTTAAAACGACATTTTAATACCGAATTCACCCATATTCATCGAATTTACCAATGCGCGTTTATAGCGTCCTCAACACCTAAAAATAATATCAGCTAACTCGAGCAAGGGTGAGGAAATCTCAAATTAGCCCAGGACGTTATCGGAAATCCTGCAAATGATGTTTTTCTTAATAACAAGAGACAAAACGGGACTAGGTGAACGAAAACTAAGCAAAAGCCGCAAATTCAACTACTTAAAAGTTGCTCACGTGCCTTTTTCCTTTTACCCAATGACAGTTACTCCGAGAAAGTACACAAAAAAGTGACGCTAATGTCACGCTCTCCTCAGCACTTGGAAAACAACTCTATTTTTTATTTCAACGTCTTTGTTTCCCGCCTCTTTCGATACTCTGATAATTCATGATATTGCTTTTTGCATTTTTAGACAATCTGGCCTTACAAAAGCCCACTACTCAGTCAAGCATATATGTTGGTAATATGCATAATCATTGGGCAAGTAACGCGGTGAACGGAGTATGGAATTTTGCGAGTTACTTTTGTACACGCACAAGGTCATCTACTAATCCATGGTTGGGAATCGACCTTGAGCAAGTGCTTCCCGTTTCAGAGGTTTACATACTCAATAGTCCGGAAACATTAGACGATGCTGAGATAAGAGTGGGTGGGTACTAATTAGTAAATTGGTATTGGATACTATTGATAACAGCTTCGCAGTTCTTTGAAAATTTTGTTACACACATCAATAAACAGATTAAAATTATTTATGTAAAAGGCCAGTCTTTCCTTTATCTGTTTTACAAATATATGAGAAGGCAATCATTATCAGTTCTCCTGATGTACATTCAGAGGATATTCATGGGAATGAACGTATCACTGAGAATGGTTGAATGGTTGACTAGCAAAAGAAAATACTTTTCTCTTCGCTACTACTGAAAATATACAGAGGGGGAGGA